AAATTAACTTTAAACAGCCTTGTCCTTGTTTTCGAGTAAATTAAAGTAGTTTCCCCTGAATCTCTAACTAAAATGTTACCAAAAAAAAAAAAGATGACTTCTAAAGTAAATGAGCTTAGATGCATCTGATGAAAACATAGCTAAAATCTTTATTGGTAAAACCTTAGTTTAGGGTCGTAAATTCGGCCAAAACTAGTAATGTGGGGGAGAGTGAATTAATGAATATGTCTTTAAACTTAAATATGAGTATATTTTCGTATAGGCCTATTTTTAAAAAAATATTATAAATAATTGAATAAGGCCTAATAGATCACCTTTTGTGGTTAAATCAATTTAAATCTCCTGCGATTAATTTTTATCAACCCTGTTCGAGATAGTAAATTTGCGATTAAAAACAGCAGAAGAAACTATTATGGCCAAGGCTATTCCCAGCCATTTGGGAATAGCCGTATTGGGGCTATTCCCAGCCGACTGAGAATAGCCCCAATACAGCTATTCACAGTCGGCTGTCATTTCATGCTAAATACGACTGAATAATATCTTAAAATAATAAAATCATTTATTGTGACTGGGGAGTGAGGTATAGTTTTTTATATATTTTTATTTTGTTATATTTTTATTAAAAAAGTTATTACGGTTTAGTTTAGCTTTTAGGCTCATATCAGACATATCTGCTACAGGCTACGTCTACGTAGGTCAAAATAGATGATCAATTATGCACTCTAAATACATACACTAGAATAATAGATCTAGTAATTTTTAAATAAATAATACTAATTAAGCATTAGTTTACTATTTAGTTGGTTGTTCACATTGCTATTCAACTATCAATTACCATTAAAAATTCACATTATCACATAGAATAAACATCAGGTGAAATAGGATGTCCTTTTTCATCAGCTACAATTCAGTTTCCATCACAATTTTGTGTTTTTTCTCGTAGCAAAAATCTACGGGACAGGTTTTTTTTTCTATTTTGCTGATATGTCAACAATTACGTCACAAAAGAAGAAAAAAATTAACAACAATAACCCATCCATGAGTAACTCAAGTAACTGTGAAAAAATATGTTGATAATAAGATTAAAAGGCATACATTAAGAGTCATAGCTATATGTCATCTGATGGATTTGAACACGCACCTTCTGGCACGCTGGCCACTGCCCATGACCGCTCGACTACACATCTTCATGCCCAGTTGGGTATTTTTATCATTAAATCTATCAAAAACGGTCACGACTGTGAATTGATACTTTGAAATATTATTTAGAGTAGCTTCCCTTTCATTTCTATTCGTTTGAAAATGTATTTGAATATGATTGTCTTGTTGGGTTCCCAGAAAGAACCGCAACGGAAAAAAGCGCAAACGGAAAAAAAGAGCAAAAAGAAAAAAGCGCACACAGAAAAAAGCGCAAACTGAAAAAAAGCGCAAATGGAAAAAAGTGCAAACAGAAAAAAGCGCTAATAGAAAAAAGAGCACACAGAAAAAAGCGCAAACGGGAAAAAAGTGCAAACAGAAAAATGCGCAACCAGAAAAACACAACAAAAAATGTGCAAAAGAGAAATTTAGCACAAAGACCACATGGACTAGATGACACATTTATACATGACTGTTAGGACTGCTGTGAAAGTGTCGTGTTTGATCACGTGATCTACTACCATTTAAAGCGTACCACTACCATGTGCATTCCCATCACCAGTATACAGGCGATAATCGCTTTACACAATGCCTATTATTTTCTTGGTCAATAATTATTCAACTACTATTCTCGTATAAATAAACATAAAACTATCCTTGATATCGACATTACACGAAGTATCTCTCACATTCTCCCTAGTCCGAACTAACTAGCTTGCATACCATAACAACCCGTTCCTATGGCAAAACTTCACTCTCTTTCATCCGCGTCATCAAACATGCATTCGTCATATTTCTCGCAACAACATTCATTCCTCTATCTTCTATCAAATTTTGAGTAATTTCCGTTGACCGGAAGTAGTAATTTACGCTATTTCCGATTTCTAAAAAAAAAATGCTTGTAAATTTATAAAGTACTAATAATATTGCGCACTATTATGCATATTTTGTTGTTTTGGCGTTCGCTTGGTGCGCAATTCTTTTTTCTATGAGATTCTATTCTATTTTAAAAAGTTTAAGTATTTAAAATGGATTAAAAATCATAACTATATCCCGAGTTCCCATCCCCTGTTGTTTTATATAAGAATATTCGAGAAAGTTTAGGGGAGATCACTCCCAGTTTATTTTGTACTAATGATTATTTGATCATTACTATTACTATACTGTTTGAGTTTTTTCTTATTGTTTGAATGTTCGCTATTTTCATTTCAGGGTTGTCTTTTCTTTAAATAGTGATTCTATCGTCAATTATGAGAGGGTTTTTTTTTACGTCTCTTTACCTTAATTAAACCCCAACCTCCATCATATTTTCGTGGTCAATGTCACAAAAAGTCACAATGTCAAAAATTACGTTTGGCTCTGCCTTATCTAAGATCTCTAGCCATAATTTTGACAACAATAAATGTTTTTCATCATTTACATATACAAAGAGACCAAAAAATTATCCACCAGCTTCCCACGTAAAACATCATCTAAAAATATCAGCCACCCCACCACTCAAGTACGTGTTGTCATTATGGTCGATCCCAAGTCTCCACCTGTCAGACATATTTTGGTTATCCTTTCTTGTCAAAATGTCAATATTAAATGCCCAAAATGAGTGAAATGGGGTTGTCCATAAATGATGTCACATATGATTTGCTACGGGAGTCAGTGAAGATTTGTGACGTCAACCCAGGCGGCTCAGCAATTTATGCCGTGTAGGTCTAGTGAAAGGGGAAAAATACCTAGGTCATTGATGGAGAACCTCTATAATGCTATGTTCAATCAAAATAACGATAAATAATCATTAGTATACGTATACCTTGCTCAAAACGAAAGATCATAAATGTTGCAAGCCTGCTAGTTTGAGACGTTTGGCAAAACGGCCTCAACACATCCCCGTCGAAAAGACTTGCCAATAAATGCCTGCCGACAAATATGCCCCGTCTAATGCGGGGCGTTAGTAATACGGCCATTAGCATGGGGCCAGGGTCCGACGAACCAAACGGGGACGCGTTAGTAGAGCACCACATAGTTTCTTCCAGGCATCTCTTCGGGGGGGGGGGGGGGGTGCGGAGTCGTCCTCCCCCCTTAAAGAATGTCTACCCCCACCCCGAGTGAAATGGAATTGATATAGAAAACATATACTTTTACCAGTGTCCGACCCCCGGAAAATGTTGACCGCCATCTCCCCCCCCCCTCCCCAAAAATATCAAGTGCACCCCCGGATAAAAAAAAGTCTGGAAAAAACTCAGGAGCACCAGTAGGCTATCGCGCTTTGTAAGATGACGCATATAGCTTACTTAATTTCAATTTCGCGACAGGTCTGCCCTACGGCCAAGCCATTTGCCTATAAGCATGCCAAAAAATTAGACAGGTGTAAAGAGGGTAAGTGCCCTAAAATCCGTATACAAAGATTATAAAGGGAATAAAACTAGTCAGTTTTGACCTCTTTACGAAGTTTTCCCAGATATGCCGAGTTTTTTGTGACACCCTATGGCGTTCTCCTACCACCTCACAAAATATCAAGATGGGTCGTCGTCGGAATTTTTTTTTCGTAATAGAGCTCATATAAAGAGAATTTCACTCGCGGTCACTTTTTAGCCCTCGTCGAGGGCTTTTAGTGACATCGACAGGTTAGCCCTACGGCCAAGCCATTTACCTATAAGCATGCCAAAAATTAGCCAGATGTAAAGAGGGTAAGTGCCCTAAAATCCGTTTTGAAATTACCCTCTGTTTTTCCCATAAAATACAAAGATTATATAGGGAAATACAACTGGTCAGTTTTGATCCCTTTACTAAGTTTTCCCAGATATGCCGAGTTTTTTGTAACACCCCAAGGCGTTCTCCTACCACCCCACAAAATATCAAGGGGGAGGGTCGTCGTCGGAATATTTTTTTCGTAATATAGCCCATATAAGGCGGCGGTCAGTCGGATCAGTTTTGACCCCCTCTCCGTAGACTTTTCGGCAAACCGTCACCGGCCCTCGTGTTCTATCGCCCCAAGGCACCATCGTGCCAAATTTGACGCGCCTGCGGCGCCGGGAAATGCCCTAGCGGGCACCTGACCACTTTGCTTTATATATATAGACTAGGCATGCTGCCCAGCTTCGCTTAGGCTTTCGAAAACATTGAGAATTTGAATGCTTAATTAATTCGCCCGAGGGTCGGTCTACGAGCTCAGGAGTTATGAAGAGGTTCCTACGTGGACATTTTTTTTTTCGATTTATACCTCAGTCGAGGTCAGTTTTGACTCCCTCATCGTAGACTTTTCGGCCAACCGGCCCCCGTGTTCTGTCGCCCCAAGGCAAGATCCTGCTAAATTTGAAGCGCCTGCGGCGCCGGGAAGTGCCCTATCGGGCACCCGACAACTTTGCTTTATATATTATAGAGATTAGCAAATTGCATAGATAAACAAAGATTTCAATAAAGTAATTAAGGCCTGAAATACTTTAGTATAGAAATGTATTATTTGAATAGATTCTAGATCTAGGTAAGGTCTACATCTGTGTAAGTCTAGTTTTTCCGTAGATCTAGAATATCTAGATCTAGATTCATCTAGATCTAGAATCATAATAGAATTTATTTTTTAAGTTTAGCCCGAGCAAAATTATATTGTATAAATTTCATAGCGTACGTAGATCTAAATCAAATTTGAATGAAATAGTTCATTTCTTTTTATTCTAAGCACGGAAGATGACGTCATTAGTTAATGTATAAACATTAGTGACGTCACAGTTTTATGCGTCCTTTTTCACATCTATAAATGCTTTTCCTGTTGCATCATTAAAATTGTTTTTCTACATTCGAATACGCCTTTTTTTTTTTATTTTTCTTCTGCCTAGAGGTGGGATTTCCTAAGCCGCGGGCGAATACTCACAGACAGGAGGTTGTACACGACTCTGTCGCATTTGGGTGCCGTGAGGAAGGGGTCGTGCAGGACTTAACAAAGAACGACACACAGGCTGCTGGCCGCTACTACTTGGTTACATAATTATACATATATATACATACATATATATATCTTATATATATATATATATATATATATATATATATATATATATATATATATATATATATATATATATATATATATATATATATATAAAGCAATGTCTGTGTGTCTTTTATGCATTACCACACCTCTTATCACATTGCCGTGAAACTTTGGGAAGTTGTTGAGAATATTCCTGGGCAGGTTTCTGCGGAAAAAAATTCAAAGTCGCAGGGGTGGCGCCCCGACAGGGCGCGATTTGTTTTTCTCCATATACGATAAAAAAAATCAAAGTCGATTTTGGTTTGACACCATTCATCCGATCGCCATCAAACTTTGGTGAGTTCATTAGAACACTTTGGGGAAGGGTTCTGTGTAAAAAAAATCATTTTTAATTTCGCAAGGGCGGCGCCACGGGAGGGTGCGATTTTTCTCTATATACGTGTAACCATCAGTCAGTGGGGATGCTTTTACCCACTGAGGTGTTGTGGTTAAGACGGGCTGACCCTGAGATTAAGTAGACACCGACAGTTGTTGTCCAGTACTCGCTTTATTTACAGCATCGAGCCATGACGGCGATGCAACACAGTAGTACAAAACGAACTAGCCAAGAAGAAAGAATCCAAAAGTCCAAAAAAAAACAACAAAAGACTGTAGCCCTAAAACAAATGTAAATAAAAAAAGTTACATTCCTGACAACACCATGTGTAGGCTACAATATACACGGGTAACAATAAAATATGTTTTGGCCAGTACACAGTACTGCCAACAAGTACCAATACGCAGTACTTCAACTAAATACTTATATTAATACTCACCCTAACTAGTGTGCACATGCAACACTAGCAGGAATACATAAGTATTTTAACAAACATAATTTATATAACTACCTTCATTAGGTCTACATTTGGTCACCGTGTTCACAGACAGCAGGCTTGCGTGTGCGACACGACTAGGCATGAAACTACCCACAATCCCATGTCACATGACATGGAACACAGGTAATTTCGCTCACAAAAGCATAAAAAAAACGTCAACAGTTCAGTTGCGGTCCCACAGGGGCCGCAACCCAATGAATAAAAACTTCATATTTTTATCCCCCTTTGGCTGGTAACCATATGTGTTACATACGGTATATAAAAATAAAAGTCGATTTTGGTTTGACACCGTTCATCCGATAGCCATGAGACTTTGGGGGAGTTGATTAGTACACTGGGAAAGGGTTCTGTAAAAAAATATTTAATTTCGCAAGGGCGGTGCCACGGGAGGGTGCGATTTTTCTCTATATATGGTATATAAAAATAATAAAAGTGAATTGCGGTGACACCGTTCACACAATCGCTATGAAACTTTGGGAAGATGTTGAGAATATTCCTGGGGATGTTTCTGCGCTAAAAACATTTTCAAATTTGCAGGGTTATCGCCCCGGCACGACGCGATTTGTTTTCTATATATATATGGTATATAGGGGGGATTTAATTTTGCATGCCCCCCACCGGCAGGATGCGATTTGGCGCCCTGGTCTTTCCCGTGAGCGCTATGGTGACTGCGTTCGGTCTAAAACAGTGTGATAGACAATGGATAGGATGGGGCGTTGCAAACGCTTACTAAATTGAATCAGGCGTGTCCTCTGGCGCCCTGGTAGGGTGCGATTGGGCGGCAAATAAAAATTTCTGTTTCGGCCCCCAAAGGCTCACATGGGCCGCTGAGGGCCATGTAATACGTTTTATTTTATAAATCAGAAAAATTAACCAATGTTAGATTATTAACTGGGATTTTTCTTTTTGTTCGTAAAAAAAATCCAGTTTCGTCACTTTGCGAATGATGCAATTAGCATTTATTTTTAGATAATCCAATCAGAAATTGAGATCGAGCATCTAAGTATTCTAAGATTAGACCATTAGTAACGCTAACATATTGCATCAGCCACACTGATGTTTAAAACACGTCAAATAACTTTTTTACTTGTTAAATAACAAATCCTGTTCATTTGTGGCACTTTAGCGAATGACGCAATCTGCATCATTGTTAACAGGATGCTATTTGGCACGAGGGCGCCTGTTAGTTTTAAGGAGCCATGGGTGGTACGCCTATTCAAATAGGCCTAATAAAGATTATATAGGCTTACTAGATATGTAATCTCCCAGTTTTCTGAAATTAGGTACGGCTGCCGCTATTGGGACCCGAGTCCTTATAGCCTCGGCTACTATTCGGACTAGCCAATAAAATTATTAAGATTTAGTTTAACAATTATTTTAAGATGTAGAAAGTAGAGTATATCTTTTCTGTTATTATGATTTTTTTCTTGTAATTCTAAATGATATCTTGAGATCTTGCTTTAAATTTAAATACCCAATATCATTCCTGACAAATGTTACGGCAAGAAGGAGTTGTTAGGTCTATAATATTTGGCCTATGGTATGAATGTCTATGACAGAACGAATGTTGAGAGCGCATGTAAAAATGGGCTTTATTTTTACAAGCTTTTATTTAACTCACTTCCTCGTCAGTCTGTCGTCAGTCGTCAGTCTAGACGGAAACGCAGGAGTGAAAATTCGGACAGTTCTACTTGACCGATACGATTCACATTTGGCACGTGGGTCAAGACATGAAGACAATGCAATCTGAAACTAAATTTGACTTAATTGGATGCCTAATTGATTTTTTATGAATTAATTAAAATTTGGACCGAATTGGTAGGCATGTCTAGCCAACCACACCACACGCGTCATCAATAGCTGCGCCATCACGACCACGTAATGGCTGCGTTCAAAAACCATTGCGCGCCTACTGAACGTGATATTCAGTAGGCGCGCAATGGTTTTTAGTCATGTAACTCTATTGTAGATAAAACATGTAAAGTACTGAAAAAAAAATTCATAAAAAACGTTTTAATAACAAGCTTTTATGTAATGATGCACTAAAAAGTAGAAAATAAATTATTGACTACTATTTAAATAACTATAAAGAAAAGCGTGGGTGTCTTCCTTAACATTATTACAAGCTTTTATTTAACTCACTTCCTCTGTCTGTCGACAGTCTGTCGTCAGTCTAGATAGAAACGTAGGAGTGAAAATTCGGACAGTTCTACTTGACCGATACGATTCACAGATGGCACGTGGGTCAAGACATGAAGACAATGCAATATGAAACTAAATTTGACTTAATCGGATGCCTAATTAATTTTTAATAAATTAATTAAAATTTGGACCGAATTAGTAGGCATGTCTAGCCAACCACACCACACGCGTCATCACCTTCAATAGCTGCGCCATCACGTAATGGCTGCGTTCAAAAACCATTGCGCGCCTACTGAACGTGATGTTCAGTAGGCGCGCAATGGTTTTTAGTCATGTAACTCTATTGTAAATAAAACATGTAAAGTACTGAAAAAAAATTCATAAAAAACGTTTTAATAACAAGCTTTTATGTAATGATGCACTAAAAAGTAGAAAATAAATTATAGACTACTATTTAAATAACTATAAAGAAAAGCGTGGGTGTCTTCCTTAACATTAGTAAAGGTATCCAATAGATACTAAAGTGACCCACGCTTTTCTTTATAGTTATTTAAATAGTAGTCTATAATTTATTTTCTACTTTTTAGTGCATCATTACATAAAAGCTTGTTATTAAAACGTTTTTTATGAATTTTTTTTTTACAAGCTTTTATTTAACTCACTTCCTCGTCAGTCTGTCGTCAGTCTAGACGGAAACGCAGGAGTGAAAATTCGGACAGTTCTACTTGACCGATACGATTCACGGTTGGCACGTGGGTCAAGACATGAAGACAATGCAATCTGAAACTAAATTTGACTTAATTGTATGCCTAATTAATTTTTTATGAATTAATTAAAATTTGGACCGAATTAGTAGGCATGTCTAGCCAACCACACCACACGCGTCATCACCTTCAATAGCTGCGCCATCACGTAATGGCTGCGTTCAAAAACCATTGCGCGCCTACTGAACGTGATGTTCAGTAGGCGCGCAATGTTTTTTAGTCATGTAACTCTATTGTAAATAAAATATGTAAAGTACTGAAAAAAAAATTCATAAAAAACGTTTTAATAACAAGCTTTTATGTAACAATGCACTAAAAAGTAGAAAATAAATTATAGACTACTATTTAAATAACTATAAAGAAAAGCGTGGGTGTCTTCCTTAACATTAGTAAAGGTATCCAATAGATACTAAAGTGACCCACGCTTTTCTTTATAGTTATTTAAATAGTAGTCTATAATTTATTTTCTACTTTTTAGTGCATTGTTACATAAAAGCTTGTTATTAAAACGTTTTTTATGAATTTTTTCCCTGTCAAACCTAATTTGATTTTATAGGACTACTAGGCATACTGCCTAGCTTAACTTAGGTTATCAAAAACATTTGAGAATTTGAATGCTTAATTAATTAGTGATTGGCTGAAACTTGGAGTGCTTACGTTTAAACAGTAATGCTAATTTTAGAGAAGTTGTTGTTTGTTGTTATAGTCCGTTTTCAGAGAAATTGTGATGGGATGTTCGCAATTTATGACTCAAAGGTATTTAGAACTACAGAGGTTCCCTGAACAGTATAACCCACAATTTAAATTACATTGACTTTTACAATTAATTTTTACAATTTTATTAGGATAGGCCTACATACTTTAATTAACAATTTAATTTTTTTTACTGAAACGAATGCTATACTTCGTCATTTTCTGTTTTTGTTAAAAATAGTATACAATTGTTTGAAAAATAATTACTTTAAAAAAGTTACCTCCTTTCAAAATTGAACAATGACGTAGTCTTTGTTTACTTTATTTAAACAGTTGCAATGCTTATATAAGAAAATACGACTTCTGGACAAATCTAACGACCATAATTGTTTTTTCCTATGGGAATAACTTTTTTTTTAGTTACCCTCCAGGGTCGGTCTACGACCTCACAATTTATCAGAGGGGATCGTAAGGCATTTTAAAAATATAAAGCTCATATAAGGAGAATTTCACTCGTGGTCACTTTTTTGCCCTCGCCGCGCGAGCAGAGGCTGGCCGATAGTTTATCCATACGGCAGATTCATTTACCCAGGTTTATCGAATAAAAAATGAGCCAGATCTAGAGAGCCAAAGTTCCAAAACACTGTTTTGAAAATAATCATCTATTTTCACCAAATTAATACTAATAGTTTCACTGTCTGTGTATCTATCTATCTATGTATCTGACAAGATAGAGAAAACACAAGCAAATTAAAAACATGCATAGTAAAACGGAAGCGAAATATGACGTCACATTTAACATATAGTAGAAAATAGTATCAAGCCCGAGAGTGCACACAGTAATATGACGTCATTGATTCTCGAGTAAACATTGAATTAAAAAGCCAATTTTGTCTAATCTTTAAAGTGGTTTGCGTGAAGAGTTTCTTTCATACAATTCGTGAGAGCGTCTAAGCCGACCAAACCCCCCCCCCCCCTCCAACTCAAAAGAAATGTCGTCATCGATACTCTATAATAAAATTACAGCCTAATTCATGTGTCTAATCTAAAAAGTGGTTTGCGTGCAGAGTTTCTTTCATGAAATTCTTCGGGTAGTGGCTAAGCGCGACACCAGTGTTTCTTTCAGACTTTTTCCTCCCCGGAGGGAGGAACTTTTTCTAATCTAAAAAAAGTGTTTAGCGTGCAGTTTTTTTCATGCATCTCTTCCTTTAGTTTGTATGATCTACAAATGCGACCAGTGTTTTTTTCCTCCCCGGGAGTGGTGGGGGTACTTGAATTTTTTGGGGGCGGGGGTAGAATTTTCTGGGAGGGGGCGGACACTGGAAAAAGTATATAATTATATTTCGTTGAATGGGGCTGTAGACATGTTTTGGGGTGTGTGTGTGGGGGGGGGGGTTGGTTTTAGTTTAGAGAAAATAGACAGCACTATCAACCTAGCGCCCGTTGTATCCTTCCTCGACGGGCCATTTTTCTCGTTAATACTAATAGTTTCGCTGTCTGTGTATCTATCTGACAAGAACGCTA